GTATAACAAACTTGTTATTACTGTACATCCTATAATTACTAAACATATACATATATGTAACATGTTAAATACACAGTTAGTTAGTTGAAAAACAATTGTTTTTTTCTTACACTTCACTTACCTTTTACCAATCGTTGTGGTACATTAGCTAAACTACGTACAGTATCACCAGCTACTTGATTACATTTAGACCATAGAGCTTTTACTGCACCCACAGCATCAGTCATTAGTTTACCTTCATGTTCTATAGCATCTTTATGATTATGATTATTATTGTGATCATCAGTTGTTGAATTATTGACATTTTTACTAACATTCTCTTCATCAGAAGGACATTCAGAAAGTACCAGATCATTCGATAGATTCGATGAAGGAAGTGGTGGTAAATTAATTGGTCGTGTTGTATGAATTTCAATAAGTGGCCATGAATTCGCTACGGATGGATGTAATACTTCTTGTTTTAAATCATAACATAAATGATCAAATTCTTTTTCAGTTGAACATAAAAAACCTATAACCATACTTGGATCTAAACGTTTCAATGGCATACGTATTGGATTATCACAATGATATGTTTGATCATAATCTGGTTTTAAATTACCACGACCAGTAGGTTGTGTAGTATGTGGATCTAAACATATAACATCATCACCAGAAACACCAACAATCCAAACAGCATGACATGGTGAACCGCCTAATATACCGATACAATATGGTAAACGGAATATAGCCTTTGGAATAGCATAGTTTTTTTTTCAAGAAAAAATAAAGGAAATTGTTAATTGAATAAATAAGTAATCAATGTGTACAATAAACACCTAATTGCAAAGTTAAACTTGTATACATTTCATACATAGGAAAGTAGTTACAATTGCACAACTTATAGCTGATACTATCGAGTCTTATTTACATTCGGGTAAATTTGAGAACATCATGAATAAAAAAGTATAATATGCTATAATGTATTGTCTGATAGCTGATACTGTTACGTACTCTTTCTACACACAAGCCTGGCCACTTGAGAGAAAGAATAAAGTGTGAGGGAGAAAGTTTATTTAGCTAACTGAATCAAGAAACAACTGTACAGTTGTTTATATATATATATATATATATATATATATATATATATATATATATATATATATATATGTTATAATGCTGCTACGTATAGCTATTCAGTCTTAGCGGCGTCCAATTCAAATATACCAATATGACCCCAAAATGCTATTTCCAAATCTCCTAGATATCAGAACGCAAGACCGTAGGATGGAGTTGTTTATTGGGTCGAGTACAGAAGAGAGGTAGGCAGGAAGAAACGGAATTGGAATCATGAAGTCTTACAGATAGTGCGTATTTATACATTTAGGTCGAATAGGAAAGAGCATCAAAGTCTGTGACATTGACAGTTTAGGACGACCAATAGGAAAGAACACTTGAAATGACATTGACAGTCCGGATGACCAATAAGAGACAACATTGAAGTATTTGACTTTGACAGTTAAAACGACCATAATTTTGACCAATAGGATTATACTTCCAAAAATAGTACTCTTAGGATATTTGGTGAATATCCTAACAAATATATATATATATATATATATATATATATATATATATATATATAATGCTTGCCAACAGTTGATATGCTTGAAACTATTACGAGTTCATCTTAGTCGATAAACGAGAGCGAAGATAAATGATCTAGTGAGATGATAGGCTATTCCGATTCGATTATCCTCGGCCCTGATAATGATATCAAAAGTCTTGATATGGCGTAGAAAGTGTATTCTTCTACAAGCACCCAGAAAAATATGAAGTTGACAAGCACACAAATCGAGTTTATTTATCCATCATAGAAACACCCTTGAGAGAGTCACAAGAATAGCGTACTAGAACAATACATCAACCAATAACAGCCAAGGATTTCCCGGGTGGGAAATGTAATCTCAAGGTCAACTGATCAGCCCATGCGCTGAAAAATGAGATCCAAAATTAGGACCTTTATCAAGTGAGTTCTGGGGATCTAAAGTACCCAACAATATATTTGTTAGAACAGTGAGAAGACGTAATTGATCTGAAAAATGTGATGTATTTGCGCAATACATTTCGAACAGTCTGGTCACACATATTTACTTGTCAAGGCATTTTATATGAAATTAATGAAAGGTCAATTAAGTAAATAGGGAGGAGTAATCAGACTTTGCAATCAAGGGTTATAGGACATGTACCTTTATATGGTTTCAAAATCAGTTCATGTCAAATGACGCGATAAACGTGGGAAATAGAAAACCATGTTCATCGATCGCAAAACACATAATTGAGACAGAGCATAAGATTAACATCAATACAGCATTCAAAACCCTGTATAGAAACGTTCAAGGACGAATTCTGAGGTTTATGAAAGCCTTGACTAGTCGTAAATTAAAGCCCTCCTTATGTGTAGGCTCATATTTACCCTGGTGACCTTCGAGACATTTTATGGTATAGGGTAATGTGACGATATCCTATCCTTTTCATGCTATGTTGAATTTCTCTCTCCTTTAGTTTTACAATTATCACCTTATGTCTATTTGAACTTTTATTTAGCCTATTTAAAATACCTTGACAAATATATGTGTGACCAGACTGTTAGAAATGTACTGCCCAAATACATCACATTTTTTAAATCAGTTACGTTTTCTCATTGTCCTATTAAAATTTATGAAAGGGATTGATTGTTTTAACTGTGCTTTTACACAGAGATCATGAATTAATCATTGTTAGACCATCATTAGAAACCTGGAAGCACTGGGCGGCCGTTTCGTCCTGATATGGGACTACTCATCAGCAGCGCGCATCCACGACTCCTGACGCTTGCAGGATTCGAACCACGGACCTTCGGTCTTGTGCGCGAAAGCCTTACCTCTAGTCCACTGGGCCGGCACCCAACGGTGTTATTGCTGAATTCTGATCAATCTGGGGATTTGGTGTGACCTCATCCATTTTTCTTTGGTAGTTACTGCCTACACCCGACACGGTTGAACTACACTGGTCACGTCTTCTCACTAGAACTCCGATAGTTTCCTCACAAAGCCAGTTACTAGTGAGCACATTGTACGATTTTTCAATTAGAGTTATGTAGATCATTGTTTTTACACATAAAAATCATGAATCAATCATTGTTAGACCACCATTAGAAACCTGGAAGCACTGGACGGTTGTTTCGTTCTGGCATGACACTCTCTCAGGATACTATACCTTTGTGTGGTCTATGTCAATGCAAAATAAAGCCATTCTTTAGATAAATCATTGTACTGTAATCATACATATGTATTTCTTTTTAAAATGAACAAGCTAAGCGCTCAATTATTCAAGTACATCTGGATTTCAACGGTTCGTACACTAGACGGAACAATACCTAACTCCACAAGTTTTTTCATAATAATAACTTTAATCTGATTATTTGATTTTTAAAGAAAGGAAATATACCAGATGACAAAATTGTAAACTTAAATAACAAACTAAAAAAAATCAATCAAAATACTTTTTCGTTATTCATACACTTTTTATTGATACATCAGGATGTTTGCAGTGGTGAACTGATAATCTTAAGCTTGAAGTGCGTTTGTTTCGCCTAGGGGTATACACTATTCCACAGTATTAGTTCGTGTTTGAGTGACTATGTATTCAGGTTGATTCCTGTGTGCGGTTATATAAAGGTGTCGACTACTTGGTTAGGGTCCGCGAGATGTTAGTAATCGATGGTTAGAGATCCTGAATGATATGGCTCAAAACAGTTTATAATGGCGCAGGTGCCTTCATTCTTTGTGCTCTCTCAAATACCAAACTTTTTAATTCCTCATCACTTTATCTTTATCTTTTTAGGTTTATTTCACTAGCTTCTACTTCTTGAATAATATCTTCTAATCCTAACCTCTCCGACTACTGCTATAATACCTTTACTACCTCTACTACGATTGGATTTGAATTGACAACTATATCCCCGTGCTAACGTGGTATGGCAACATGAACAGATCTACGTACGTACGAAGAAGTTCTACGTTGCTATTGATTGACTGATTTATATAAAGGCTAATTTTTATGAGCCTAATTGCTCAAGTAGTAAGATCGAGTGAACCTGACAGTCGATACTTAACCACATTTTGAATCTCGCTTAATCAAACTGAGTCTGTCTAGAACAAGCAGTACCACTGATCCTCAAAAATTGCGTGTGTGTGTGTGTATGTGTGTGCGTGCGTGCGCGAATTCGACTTTTAATATCGTTCCCAAATATGATGATCGCACTTGTGTAGTATCAAAATAATTATGATAAAGAAGTTGACAAACTCTATTAAATAGTAAGTAGTACATCAAATTAAATTCATGAAAATACAGAAGAGAGACAACAAAAAAAAATCTATTTCACATACTTTGATCGCATTAAAATAACACGGATTAGGATTATGTAATCCAAGTCGAAGTGGAACAAATAACAACAATGGTCTCCAATTTGATGAAATTGAATTTGTTGAAGAGGAGGAGGACAACGATGATGATTCATTATGCATAATAGGATTCACGTCAGTATTAGTGGAGTCAACTTGACTGTCATTGTATTGATTTGTTTGAAGGTGATTTTCTTGGTGATTGTTGTTATGAGTAATTGTATCAACAATAGTGGGAATTTTATTATCATCACAAATAGATGAAGAAAGTACACTGGATGTAGATAATAACACATTCAATTCATTTGATTGATTATTAGTCGTCAATGATGAACTAGTAAAAGTTGGTGGTAAAACTATTTCTATACAACTATCATCCACTTCTCTGGTAACAGGTAATTGAAGTTGAGATCGTAAACTAACAAAAAAACAAAACAAGATGTTACATAATAATATACGGAGAAAAAAAAACGAACAAGACTAAAGATAATTTAATATTACATGACTCACATTTCACCAGAATGAAAACCAATCATATCATCAGGGTTTAGAGATTACGCCGTTGTTGGTATTTTTGACTGAAATTTAATCAGTCTTGGTTAGCTAGTACATGAACATCCTTATGGGGATTGCCTTGATAAAGCTATCACAATACAAGTTTATATAGAATAGATGAAATGTGGCTAGCAGTTGAATCCATGATGTGCGTTTTGGACTCGTCAGCTGGAGGTATTTTGTATTTTAGAGTTGGTATTCACTTTGTAACTCAAATCCGGTCAGTCAAAAATATCAACAGCGAGATAATCCGAATCCGTTGCACAATTGGTTAATCTGGATTCAGTAGCGAAGTTGGTAACGCGAAGGCATTTGAAGCCAACCAAAGGTACTTGGTTCGAGTTCCAAAGGGAAAATCAACTCCGAGATGCAAGTATATCCAGCTGATGAGCCTCAAATAAGACGAAATATATATCCTGGTTAAATAATGTCCACTATATTAGTCAGTAATTGAGAGCTTGTCGACTCTGATACAATGTTCGAGATTAAAGCGTCAAAGTGATAGATGCACATAACTAAATGTTCAGGTTTTGATTGACTTTTTTCACAGAGATGATTACTTCTAGAAAGTAATCAACTACAAAGGTAGATGAAAATAACAAAATCAGGTGAATACTACTGAATATATGGACTATTAGTAGTGAGTAATTGAAACACTTAAACGCTCTCAGCAACGCCGAAGGTCCTGAGTTCGATTCGCAGTTGGATCGTAAATATGCACCACTAAGTGCTACACATATCAGGACGAAACAGCTATCCAGTAATACCTGGTTGGGATCCGCGAGAGGATAGGAATCGGCGGTTAGAGACCTTGAATGACATGAACTGATATACGTACGTGCGTACGTAGTTTTACGTTGCTATTGATTGATTGATTGGTTGACAGTCGTCTAATTAAGATAAATGCCTGATGGAGACAATTGCAGAATTTCACATTGTAAAGTATCGGCTGGTTCATTTAAAACAAAGGCCTAAAAGAAAACCTACTCTGGAGTATGGTGCCATCCTAATAGATTAAAAGCTACACTTATCTGCAAGTAATACTATCTCAGTCAGTCAGTTGCAACGTAGAACTTCGAACGTATGTACATAAGTTCATGTTGCCATAACACATTAGCACAGAGACGCAAATGTCAAATCTAATCCCATACTGATTGAGATAGTAGTAGTACTATTAATAAAGAGGATTAAGGTTTCAAGGTATTATTCAAGAAGTATAATTCAGTGAGGTAAATTTAGGAAGAGAAAGATAGAGGTGATGAGGAATTCGGAAGGTTAGAATTTCATTGAACACAAAGAGTAAATGCAGCGGCGCCATTGTAAACGATTTTGAGCCGTGTTATTCAAGGTATCTAAACATCGGTTACTATCGTCTCACGGACCCCGACTAGGTAGCCTACATCTGCCAACATGACTCAGTCCACTTGTCAATGACTTCATGGATTTCTGCCATGTTTTGGTTTGGCCGCCCCTAACTTTCTTCCAACCTACTCCTACACCACAAAACATAGCTCGTCGAGGCAGTCGGTGGTTAGGCATTCGTAACACATGTCCCAACCACCTCAACTGATGAAGGTTCACCACTTCATCTACTGACCTGCCAACCTTACCTAGTACTCGTTTCCTAACGACAGAATTGCTTACTCGGTTGCCCCACGATATACGAGCAATGCTTCTTAAACATCTATGATCGAATACTAGTAACCTACGAACATCTTCTACTCTTAACGGCTATGTTTCGCATCCATATAAGAGAACGGAGTAATACTATCTAGTGGGCCCATACAAAAACAAACAAACAAACAACCGAATTTGACAATTTATTTGCAAGCATTCAGACTTACTCAATTAATTCTGAATCATAACGACGCATATGAAGAGCTTCATTATTCCAATCACAATTTTGAGTTGAATCAATCACAGCTTGAGAGAATGGACAACTATAAGATGATGTTGATGAATCCGATTCTTCTGCAGCATCATTTACACTCTCCACAGTAGCATGATGTTCTTCTGTTAATTTGTCATTTTCATCAGAATTATTAGTGAAATTAAAATAAGGCCGAGGTTGACAGCATAAAGATTCTGATTGTTGAAAAAAAAGAGAAGGAAAAAAATCATACGTTGGGTGCATGTACAAATTAAACTACAAATAACATTGAAAATAATGTCATTCTTTGAAAGTGTTAAAAAAGGCGATTGAAATAGGTGAAAATAAATGTTACATTTCAATAAAACGATTAGAAATTGTGTATTGAATTGAGAATTTACAATGATTACTATGCATATGAACGATCAAGAAATTCTTTCAATATGAATTGGTTTAATGGTGGAATCGATTGAAAGGTAGCTGACACACAGCAGCACTCTGATTAGTCAGTCAGTCAATTACAACGTAGAACTTCGTACGTACGTACGTCAGTTCAAATACCATGGTGGTGGGGATAGTAGAAGTACTACTGGTTATGGAGAATATTAGGGATCGAAGATATTTTATTCAAGAAGTATAATTCAGTGAGATAAGGTTAGAAAGAGAAGGATAGAGATGATGAGTAATTCAGAAGATTAGAATTTGAGAGAACACAAAGAGTAGATGCACCTGTGCCATTGCAAACGATTTCGATCCATGTCATTCAAAGTCTCTAACCATTTGCGACTTTCGTCTCCGGTGGCAATAACTCACACATTGATATCAAACAGAACAGAATAGATGTTCAAGATAACTTCTTTGTCTTCTGAACAAAAGTTTAAAATTGAGATATTTATATTTAATAACACCCAGTGACCTTGAGACGTAATAAAATGAACAAACTAAAAATGACAACAGCCAATCAGATAACAGGCAAAGACAATTACGGAAATATTTGAAAAATGTTATCGAGACTATCCTTTTAAGAAAGAACTAACATCGAATAACGAAAAAAAAACTACACAACCTGAACAGAAAAGAGAAGATTAAACACATGGAATAGGATATACATTGAATAATCGAAGTGGTTTATATTTTGGTCACTAGTTGATAAGGCCGTTTAAAAAAAAAACCACTTTGTTACTGTAAACGCGGAGATGGATGATTCATTTGAACAACTAATCTAGAAGTGTGAAACTTTAGGAGGTTTTATTCTCAACCTTGTTTTTTTTAGAACAATATCAATATAACCAACAAGCATACGAGTATTGATTTAGCTTTTAGGTTTTACACGTGATAGTATTAACTAAAGCATTTTATAGTTTCAACTAAAGAGATTTACACATGTTTAGTCTAATTAACAAGGGTGTTTCTAGTTCTCATGTAAATTATTTTTTGTGAATATGAATTTAAAAAAAGTGAATGACACTTATTAGGAGAGTTAGTGTAACAGGATTCGAAATGGATAACAACTTGATCGATAGAGTTTACGGTAAGAAATGTAAACAAGAAATTAGAAATGAAGTTTAATTTGCTTTTTAAATTGAACTGCACACAGTGAGCCCCGGGCGAAGTCGAGTCTCTCTGAATAGAAACGGTCTCGCGAGACCGTTTCTATTCAGACAGTCTCTTCGTCTCCCGGGCCTCACTGTGTGCAGTTCAATTTAAAAAGCAAATTTAAAACCTTCATTTCTAATTTCTTGTTTACATTTCTTACCGTAAACTCTATCGATCAAGTTGTTATCCATTTCGAATCCTGTTACACTAACTCTCCTAATAAGTGTCATTCACTTTTTTTAAATTCATATTCACAAAAAATAATTTACATGAGAACTAGAAACACCCTTGTTAATTAGACTAAACATGTGTAAATCTCTTTAGTTGAAACTATAAAATGCTTTAGTTAATACTATCACGTGTAAAACCTAAAAGCTAAATCAATACTCGTATGCTTGTTGGTTATATTGATATTGTTCTAAAAAAAACAAGGTTGAGAATAAAACCTCCTAAAGTTTCACACTTCTAGATTAGTTGTTCAAATGAATCATCCATCTCCGCGTTTACAGTAACAAAGTGGTTTTTTTTTTAAACGGCCTTATCAACTAGTGACCAAAATATAAACCACTTCGATTATTCAATGTATATCCTATTCCATGTGTTTAATCTTCTCTTTTCTGTTCAGGTTGTGTAGTTTTTTTTTCGTTATTCGATGTTAGTTCTTTCTTAAAAGGATAGTCTCGATAACATTTTTCAAATATTTCCGTAATTGTCTTTGCCTGTTATCTGATTGGCTGTTGTCATTTTTAGTTTGTTCATTTTATTACGTCTCAAGGTCACTGGGTGTTATTAAATATAAATATCTCAATTTTAAACTTTTGTTCAGAAGACAAAGAAGTTATCTTGAACATCTATTCTGTTCTGTTTGATATCAATGTGTGAGTTATTGCCACCGGAGACGAAAGTCGCAAATGGTTAGAGACTTTGAATGACATGGATCGAAATCGTTTGCAATGGCACAGGTGCATCTACTCTTTGTGTTCTCTCAAATTCTAATCTTCTGAATTACTCATCATCTCTATCCTTCTCTTTCTAACCTTATCTCACTGAATTATACTTCTTGAATAAAATATCTTCGATCCCTAATATTCTCCATAACCAGTAGTACTTCTACTATCCCCACCACCATGGTATTTGAACTGACGTACGTACGTACGAAGTTCTACGTTGTAATTGACTGACTGACTAATCAGAGTGCTGCTGTGTGTCAGCTACCTTTCAATCGATTCCACCATTAAACCAATTCATATTGAAAGAATTTCTTGATCGTTCATATGCATAGTAATCATTGTAAATTCTCAATTCAATACACAATTTCTAATCGTTTTATTGAAATGTAACATTTATTTTCACCTATTTCAATCGCCTTTTTTAACACTTTCAAAGAATGACATTATTTTCAATGTTATTTGTAGTTTAATTTGTACATGCACCCAACGTATGATTTTTTTCCTTCTCTTTTTTTTCAACAAACAGAATCTTTATGCTGTCAACCTCGACCTTATTTTAATTTCACTAATAATTCTGATGAAAATGACAAATTAACAGAAGAACATCATGCTACTGTGGAGAGTGTAAATGATGCTGCAGAAGAATCGGACTCATCAACATCATCTTATAGTTGTCCATTCTCTCAAGCTGTGATTGATTCAACTCAAAACTGTGATTGGAATAATGAAGCTCTTCATATGCGTCGTTATGATTCAGAATTAATTGAGTAAGTTTGAATGCTTGCAAATAAATTGTCAAATTCGGTTGTTTTTTTGTTTTTTTTGTATGGGCCTACTAGATAGTATTACTGTACTGCGCAGTAGTTCGCTCCGTTCTCTTATATGGATGCAAAACATGGCCGTTAAGAGTAGAAGATATTCGTAGGTTACTAGTATTCGATCATAGATGTCTTAGAAGCATTGCTCGTATATCGTGGGACAACCGTATAAGCAATGCTGTCGTTAGGAAACGAGTACTAGGTGAGGATGGCAAATCAATAGATGAAGTGGCGAACCTTCATCAGTTGAGGTGGTTGGGACATATGTTACGTATACGTAACCACCGACTGCCTCGACGAGCAATGTTTTGTGGTGTAGGATTAGGTTGGAAGAAAGCTAGGGGCGGCCAGACCCAACATGGCAGAAATCCGTGAAGTCACCGACAAGTGGACTGAGTGATGTTGGTAGATGTAGACTACCTGGTTGGGGTCCGCGAGACGAAAGTCACCAATGGTTAGAGACCTTGAACGACGGCTCAAAATCGTTTGTAATGGCGCAGGTGCATTCATTCTTTGTGTTCAATGAAATTCTAACCTTCCGAATTCCTCATCACCTCTATCTTTCTCTTCCTAAATTTACCTCACTGAATTATACTTCTTGAATAATACCTTGAAACCTTAATCCTCTTTATTAATAGTACTACTACTATCTCAATCAGTATGGGATTAGATTTGACATTTGCGTCTCTGTGCTAATGTGTTATGGCAACATGAACTTATGTACATACGTTCGAAGTTCTACGTTGCAACTGACTGACTGAGATAGTATTACTTGCAGATAAGTGTAGCTTTTAATCTATTAGGATGGCACCATACTCCAGAGTAGGTTTTCTTTTAGGCCTTTGTTTTAAATGAACCAGCCGATACTTTACAATGTGAAATTCTGCAATTGTCTCCATCAGGCATTTATCTTAATTAGACGACTGTCAACCAATCAATCAATCAATAGCAACGTAAAACTACGTACGCACGTACGTATATCAGTTCATGTCATTCAAGGTCTCTAACCGCCGATTCCTATCCTCTCGCGGATCCCAACCAGGTAGTACTGGATAGCTGTTTCGTCCTGATATGTGTAGCACTTAGTGGTGCGTATTTACGATCCAACTGCGAATCGAACCCAGGACCTTCGGCGCAACTGAGAGCGTTTAAGTGTTTCAATTATTCACTACTAATAGTCCATATATTCTGTAGTATTTTTCTGATTTTGTTATTTTCATATACCTTTGTAGTTGATTACTTTTTTAGAAGTAATCATCTCTGCGAAAAGGGTAAATCAAAACCTGAATATTTAATTATATGCATGTATCACTTCGACGCTTTAATCTCGAATATTGTATCAGAGTCGACAAGCTCTCAACTACTGACTAATATAGTGGACATT